ATTTTCTACACTGCCATTCACTTAACAAAGAACAGTAAAGCCTTTCAAAATCCAAATGTAGGTTGTTTAGAGAAAAATGACAAAACTGGAAAATATTCCTTGAGTGAATGGTAGTAGAAGGCACAGCAGATGACCTCATTGCCTCAACAGCCGGGGCTTCAACTTTGATTCTCACTTTCTCTAATTGACTGGGCAAAAGCTGTACCTTTGATTTAAAGCCGGTAGCTTAGGAGCTTAAAAAATCAGTGGTGGCTCTACAGAAGGCACAGTCTGTCTGAATATCCATTCACTTAATTTAGTAGGAGATGAAGTCTCTCCTCTGAAAAAATACAGTACTCATACAAAAACACACACAAAAAGAGCAACAGATTTAAACTAAACTGAGCATATTTTTCCAATTTGGTAATAGAATACATATTGCTAGAATTCGGAAAGCAGTACAGAAAGAATGCATTCTGCTTTACAAACTAAAATTGTGGCTCCTAACACGACATTCACATCCTGAGACCAACTCTCACCATATTTGGAATTTAAGTATATTTTAACAAGATAAGCCTATCTTTAGAAGGAGGATATTAAAGGACTTAAAATATTTTATATTGCGACTTTATTTGAATGTAATGCATTCGCTCAACAAGTTGCATTATTGACGATATTCAACAGTATTACCTATGAAAGGTTTGAAGTGTGGCGTATCAATTAAAACAAAAGAATGTTAAACGGAGGTCATTCCCTCATGCACTTGAATGTTTACTTCTGTGAGAACCTTTTGATTGTGGTCTAGAAATGAAAGCATAGTATTCCAAAGGGCTTTTAAAGAGACCCCTGCACTTCTGAAAGCAAGTCTCCAGTGCAGGGTCAGTCAACACTTTCATCTTTGTGGAGAGACTATAAGCTTTCCACAAATTACTACACACAAAAAAATGAAATAGCCAAGTTCACAAATCTTAAAAAATCTATATATTTACTATTAGTCTACATTCCAGGCCAAAAACTATGAACTTTCAAATTCCTTCAAGTCTGCCTATCAATTTTATAGCATTAAGATAACTTTATGATCTACCTTATGTAGCCACCAGGCCCTATCCAGTATCTGTTATGTTCTTGGGTAAAAATCAGCTAGGTTACTGCTTCTAAAGCCAAATGTGTGTTCGGCATTAGTTTGTCTAAAGGAAACACAAAGAAAAGCAACAATTCTTCCACCAGAGAAGAAAACATCAGAGCACCTTTAAAACTGCATCCAAGCACAGGCACTATTATGAAAATGCAATTATCATTCTGGTTTCAAAAAAAAAAAAATCAAGCCTCCCATTTTAATCCACTGATTTAAAACTGATAAAGTAATTTTCCACTTGCTACAACTGGTCCTGATTACGTTCTTACATGTCAAAGAAGATACTCTTTAAAATGGCCATATATACATACATACACACACACACACCCGTAGCAATGTAGAATGCGTGTGTATGTCTGTGTACACACATACATATTTCTACATTTCACTGAATACTGAATTTCTAATCTGAGAAAATACATGCTTGCAAAGGTCTCCATGAAATTCCTATATATTTAATTTATAATACACAAAATTCCATATTTTTTTCTGGAAATATAAGGATTAATGCAACCATGTGCCATTAGCCATCCCTCCCCACCTTAACATTCTGCTCATTTCCACAGGAAAATCTATGCTGAGGATTTAATGGATTACTGCTAACATCTTCCCCACAGCCAACTAAAGGTATAAATAATTCTCCACTACCCAAATCTGCCTCCAGAAAACTGCAGATTTCTTTATGATCTGATTTCTCCGCGCTCTGCCGTCCTCTAGGAAATGGCTCAGTGCCTCCATTCAAACCATGCGGGTCTCTTGCAGTTTCTGCCGCTTTGTTCTCATCAAAGTCAGGTGTTTGCACCCTGGCCATTTAATTTCTAGCTGGAGAAGGAAGCTACCCCGATTTCTTAAGCATGCACTTCTGTGTTGCCCGCAGAACGCCCACACAAGCTGGCAATTCTGCTTCGTCAGGATAACGAGGTCTCCCTAAACTTTTTCTTTTCCTTTTTCCTTTTTTTTTTTCTTTTTCTGCTTTTGCCTTCCTCCCATCACAGGAAGGGCTGATTCTGAGAAGGGAGCTCACGCACACCACCCCCTTTTAATAAAATATAATGCAACGAGCTCCGATGTAAACTCTACGGGCAACGGATGACTTCAAAAAGCGTAAGAGCACCAAAAACAAACAAACAAAAAACCCACTGCCCCCCCTCCCCTCCCCAAAATGACCATATAGAAATAAAATAAATTAAAATAAAAAATCAAAAGAAGAAGCCATACTACCACCTTGTGGATTCAGCTCGCAAGAACATCACCTGCTTAGTTCCAAACCCCCACCCAACCCCCAACCCAAATTTCTTAAGTTGGGTCCAAATGACAGATCGGGATCCTCTGTCTTCGCTTCCCGCAGACTCGCCCAAGCCCTGGGCTGAATTCGTGACGCGCGCGCCCAGCGCCAGCGCGAACTGCAAGCCCGGGCGCACCGCGGGGGCCAAAACGCCGCCGCCACCTCCTAGGACCCCTCCGTGCTGCCTTCTGCACCCCTCCCCCGCCATCCCCGAGATAGCAGCAGCACATACATAAAAAGAGGCTCACACCTGCGGTAGGTTCAGAGGAAGCAGCCAGAGAGAAAGAAACCCGCAGTCAAAAAAAAAAAAAAAAAAAAAAAAAGCATGCTGGAGAAAGGGAGGGGTATGATGCGGAGGACGTCCTCCGAGTGCCCCTCGCCCTCCAAGCGGGACATCTGTTCCCAGGGTGGTCTGGGCCAGGCCTCGGGGGCACAAGGGTTGGCCTGACCACCCCACCCCCCGCTCCCGCCCCCGCCGCTCCAGGAAGAAAGGGCGCTGTGTCTGGAGAGCAAGCGCCGGAATGCTGCTCCCGGGCCCAGGGTTGCACGGGGCACTGGGCCGGATACCGGGGGCGCAATGCTCGGGGCGCGGCCCAGGAGACCCCCGCCGAGGAACCCCAGCCTACCGGTTCTTGGAGGGGCGAAACAGCCAGGTCAGGTTGGGGGGTAGGAGGAGGAAGGCGTCCGAGAGACCGACTGAAGGATGAGTGTCCCCGGGGGAAGCGACCGGCCTCTTGGAAAACCAGAGGCGGAGAGAGCCGCCGCGGAGTGGAGGGCGCGGGCCGGGACCTGGGCCTTTCCTCCCACAGCAAGCCCCCCACCCACGCATCATCTGCAGCCGAGCGGCACCTACCTCCCTCTCCCCACCCCATCCCCGCCCGCGCTTCAGCAGGGCAGGCCACGCGGGTGCCAGCCCCGGCTGGGGGAGCCCCAGACGCGGCCTTGAGGAGGGGGCGGGTCTGAAGTTCACTCTCTCCCAGCGCGGTCTCGCAGCCCCTCGCCCATCCGCCACTGTCTCCCCCGCCTCCGGCGGCGCGCTTGGCGGGTCTTCTCCATCAGTTCTGTCCACTGGAGTGGGAAGGGGCCGAGCGGAGCCGCGCGGGAATTGGGAGGCGGGGAGGCGGAGAAAGAGACTGGATGAAATCGGCCCGGGACAGCAGAGAGCCTTGGGATTGGGATGGGATGTGATGGTGGGGGGAGTAGAGGATGGCGGTTGCGTTTTCCAGGGCTGTGGGGGTGGTACGCGTATTGGAATCAACTCCTCAACCTTCTCCCCCATCCCCCGCTCGGAGACTGGCTGACCGTAAGCCCCGCAGGCTTAACACTCCCCCCTACACCCTCGCTCCAAGAAGGGGTGTTGTCGGTGGGCACCGACTGGGGCTCCGGATCCCCCGAGACCCAGACAAGGGCTCCGGGCTCCTGTCCTCGCAGCTTCCAACTTTTCCGCTCCTCCGGAAAAGCGGGCACTTTAGAGCTGGTGCCGAGGGCGGCAGCTGCAAGCCCCCCCGCAACCCACTCAAAGGTCCAGACTACACTCAAAGGCTCCCGAAGAAGCAAAACCACCGGCTCTACCCCCACTTCTACGGCCTGCCTCACCCCTCCCAACCCCCTCGCAACCCACACACACGGTAAAGGGGTGCATATAGCCCGCTCCCCGGTTTGCAGAAGCAGCGCGGAGCTATCGTCATTTCGTCTTCACGCGGAGTCTCCAGCGCGCCTGGATCGTACCCCAGCCAAGCCAAGCCAGGTCTAATCAATCACGTACCTTATTTCGTGCATCACCCAAACCATCATCTTATCCGAGGCCAGGAGATGGAGGAAAAAAACTCGTTTAATGCAACCCCAACCAAGCTTGTTTTCCCTTTTTCTCTCTGGTTAACCTCACTCCCCAAACCCCCAAAAAGGACCCCAGGCAGTGGTGGCTGACAATTTTCTTAAAGAAGAAGGGGATGGTTGGGGGGGGGAGAGAAAAAGAAAAGAAAAGCCTCCCATGCCTCACAGTTTGCAGAAGTCCTCCTACCTGCCTCCACCATCTCCAGCCCTGGCCGCTTCTCTCCTTCTCTCCCAGTACTGCAGATGTAGATATAGATATAGATATAGATGATATAGATATAGATATAGATATAGATTTTTTTTCCTCCTCTCCCCGCCACAGCCTTCTGTTTATTTGTATGGAAGGCAGCGCTACTTTGTAAACACATCACACACGGCCCCAGAGCCGTTCAAATAGCTGATTGCAGCAAAACGCTTCCAAACAACAGTGGTCCGGATTTTTCTTTTTAAGTGAAAATAAACCAAATGTTTCTGTGGAGAGGTTGCATGTCAAAGCCGTACATGAACGTCCACACTCCCACCCACACCTAAGAAACGGAGCGAGACAGATGGGAGAAAGTCTTGTCCAAATTTTCCAAAATAATGATAATCATCATAAAAGCAAAAAAAAAAAAAACATAAATAAAGATCAGATGAAGTGAAGCTCAAATATCCGCAGTGATCCTTTCCATCCTTTTGCTGGAGAGCCACTGCAAGTTAAAATGTTTATACGGCTTTTTAAAATAAGGAGAATAATATCCCAGAGACTCGTCTTAAAACTGCACCTACCTTAGCTGTGGAAGAGCTGCATCTGCCTTTAAGAGTTCTTTTTACACATCAGATTTTTCTAGGGAACACGAAACGAGGTATGATTCAGGAGGATGTATTGAAAGCCCAGGCGCCTTTCCCTTCTGGAACCCCCAACAAGATTCGCTCATCCAGAGGAATGCAAGAGCCACCAACACCGCCGAGTTTGGAGGAAATTCGTTGTTTCTGCCGTCAATAGTCTGTGACCAGGCAGAACAAGCATTACAATTGAAGCAGGAAGGGCTGAGCTAGTGGCTGAATAAGAGCTCTGTGCTAAGAGACAGAGACGGGAGAGAGAAGGTTCTGCAAGAAAAGAGAGATTGAGGAGAGAGGTCCTGCTGTCTCCAGGGCTCTCCCTCTGCCATTGGACCAAACTGAATGAAATTTACAAAGCTAGCAGCCAATAGATCGCCAGAGTCGGCTCCGTCACTACAGAAACCACATCCACAGCTACAACCTCATGCAAAGAACAGCTAATCCGAGTGCAAATCAGCTGTACGGAGAGATTCCGGGTACCCGGGAGATAGAGCAGGTGGGCATGGCACACGGTGTCACCGCACCAGAAGCACACAGCAAACCTTTTTCCTCTTTGCTTTTATAGGACTCTCTAGGTACCCTCCACACCAAACACACTGCAGTATATGCAAACATCTTTCACTGTTTAAGGTCACGATCTCCAGCAGTCCCTAGGTCTAAGTTATTGGGATTCATATGGGAAGCAATGATATAAAAAATTTTTAAAAACAGCAAAAATTGGAATGCAGTTCTGTAAAGCACAGGACCTCTTTTATGCCCAGGGTATGGTTGAGAGGAGATGGATGAAAGTTTTTTGCTTACTTCTATTCTTATACTTTCATGATTTTGATAAAATATTGGAGTTGTGCCAAGGATGAGGCATTTGTTTTTAAACACTCCACTTTATTTCCAGGAGGTTATCTTTCCCACGAAGTTTCAAGTTGTGGGGTTGTTGGGGGGGGGGGGCAATGGGTATGATCCATGTGTTTAAAGTTGAGTTTGAGAACGTTGGATTTAAATTGGCAATCATATGATCAGAGGACATCACAGAGTGTTGTGACAATGAACATGGATTCTAAAATGAGATGCTTGGGTTCAAGTTGCATGTGACCTTAGGTGTGTATTTTAATGGTTTGCCTCAATTTCTGCATCCGTAAAATGGAACAGATAATCGCCCTGTAATATTGTTGTAATGATTAGCTGATTTAACGTATGGGGCCCGGTAGTCTTCACAACAATATTACATGGTGATTACTTTTATTCTTCTGCCTGACCAGAAAAGTTGGCTTTTCTTAAAATTATTTCATGGCCCATTAATTCATTTATGGAAGGAAAAAGATAGTGTCCCCAACTAGGGCATCCTCCTAATTGCTTCTGCTTTAGGCAGTACACCTAAGCATGAAGCCTGCCATGTTGATGTGAAGGGTACTTAGGCAGCATGATCAATAATAATAATAGGGAAGGTGATGGACACCAATTCAGGGACCTGGTTTCGTGTTAAGACTCTATTCTCACAAACTTTGCCTTGTTATAAAGTCAGTTATGTTCTGTGAATCTGTTGAACTGAAATTAAAATTACCTTTCCTGTGGGTTTCTTGTGGGGACTAAATGAAATAATATGTATGAAAGAAAGCACCCTTAACCAACAAGATGGGTACATAAATATATACTTATCTATTCATAGATATCTATACCCAATAATAGAAAAAACATATATCCCTCCATACATATGTGTGTTCCTATTATTGGATAGATATTTAGAAATACACATGTACTTTTTTCCTTTATTGTATGTATATCGAATATCCATTAATATAATATCATTAATAAGTATACCTTATTCCCCAAATCAGTGATACACATGTATATAGACATATAGATACAGATATATGGACATATATATAGATATCTATATCCTAAACTAAAGCAGAATCTCAACTTGAACACTGTAATTTATAGTAACCCAGAAACTCATGGGCTTTGTCAAGAATGTATTAATTCATTGACTTATTCATAAATTCAGGTTTTGGTTTTTTTTTTTTTAGTACTGGTGCAGTACTAAGTGCTGCCATACATCTGTGAGTGAGAATCATCCATTTATTTTTGAGAAAGTATACAGTCTAGTGGACAAAATAGCCAAAAGCATAAGAAAAAATATTACAAGGTCTGCAAAATGAATATGTATGAATTTCTAGGGACCCATGGAGGTGAAAATGATTAAGGAAGGGTTTACAAAGGAAGAACGTTCTGTGTAGGGAAGGAATGGTACATAGATACTGATTGGGTGAAGAAGTTAAGAAAGAAGCCATGGATTAAAATATCGCAGCAATACTGTATGTGTGGAGCTCTAGAAATAGAGAAGGTTTGTCATGGCAGGACACTGACTTTGAAAAGAAGGTGGTGAGGAAAGGATGAGAGACCTAATTGTGAAGAGTTTTGAATGCCATACTAGAAAGGTGGAATTTACCCAGTAGGCAGTGGGAAGACCAGTAATATATTTTCTGCAGGGACGGGGGAAGAAATAATCAGATTTATACTTTAGGACAATCACTGTGATGGCAACATGGAGAACAAGTTGAAGAGGGCCAATGTGGAAAACCAAGAAAATATTTGTAAGATTGGTGCAAGAATGGATGCAACAAATAAAGTCCTGAATGAGAGACCCAGAGAGAGAAGAGAAAAGGAGGAAGAGAAGGGATGGAAAAGTAAGGAAAGGGAAGAGAAGTTGGTGTGGGGCGACATCACTTCTAAATACTTTAAGTCAGCACGATAAAGTGAGATTGGGAGGGAGAGTTTGGGCCGAATCTGCAGGCTTGGCTTGGTTTGCGGGTGGGTTGGTTGGGTAGCAGATCTCTTCCCTGAGACATGTGACCTGGAATAGAGCAGGCAAGCACATTTTCACTTCTATCTGAATGACCCCATTGAGACTTGTTAAAAATAATTTTTTTTTGTTTTAAATAAAAATTATTTTTTAAAAGGCCAGGAGCAGTGGCTCATACCTGGAATCCACACATTTTGGGAGTCTGAGGCAGGAGAAACACTTGAGCTCAGGAGTTCAATATCAGCCTCGGCAACATAGTGAGATCCTGTTTCTAGGAACAAAATAAAAACTGGCTGAGAGTGCTGGTGCACGCTTGTAGTACCAGCTACTCAGGAGGCTGAAGGGTTTGGGTCACTTGAGCCAGAGAGGTGGAGGCTGCAGTGAACCATGATCATGCCACTGTACTCCAGCCTGGGTTGCAGAATAAGACCCTCCATCAAAAAAAGAAAATGTCAGAAAGCATCTTAGACAGATGGAATCATGACTGTAAGAAAAAGTGAATATAAGATGTTATGAAATTATAATTTTCCCCATCCAAAATCCCTCACAGGAGATGAGGATAGGACCCAAAACACCAGTTCTTAACAATTGGGCCACCAGGTTGCAATAAAGACAGAGGAGCTACAGAGGTTTAGATCCAGGATTCCTGGAAGAGATAAGGGTACCACTCTTCATGCTTTCATTTTAAATCTAATTGTGGAGTATGGTGAAATGTGGGAACTGGAGGGAGTCATAAAATGAAATAAAACAATAGAGTTCTGAGAAGGATATATAAGCTGGGTTTGGTACAAAGAACTAGACGGAACATGAGAAATAGTCTATACCACACTACTTGTTCTCTCTGATTTTCCATCTCAGTGTCTCCATCAACCACATTCGGGTGTTATGTTCATACTCCTGTGAGATCGATCCATAGAACCCTAACGCAACGCTGGTGAAGCCAGATACACTATAGGGCACTACTGATTCAAACTGACTCTCCTAATACAATGGTCAAAGTGAAACAGAAATATTTTCAGTACGATGATAATTGTTCGTGCAATAGTAATATATACTGTTATTAATTACTAATCATTATTAGAGAGATAAATATGTATAGTATAGAAGGTGCTTAAAGTCTTATAAGAGGATAAATGAAGCTCTTTAATTATTAAAATGCAACTCAATGTGTGATATATGCTATCTCAGAAACATGCAGAAGACATAACAGGCTTCCTATTGGGATGATGAGAAAATGGTTCACAGATGAGCAAGGTTTTCCTGGGGAATTGGAGAACAGGGGTGGGAAATTATTCCAAGTGAATAATATCTGGAGAAAAGAAAGAGATATGGAGTGAGTGAGCAAAGGCTTTGGAAGTTCAAGGTGCACAAGGATGACCCAGAAAGATGGTTACAAAATCCATGCCTCTAGAGCTAAACACCAGGATTCAAACTTAGCAGGTCTTGAGTGAGTTCTGGGAACCTGCATTTTGGGGGCCATTCTGCTACATGAGTTTTTTTTTTTTTTAGATAATCCTCAAATTAAACCCTGAAAACAGTAGTGGTGGTGAGCTGATGGTAGGCTCTTATGATTCATAAAGGAGAATAAGAAGAAATAGGTCAGCCTGGACTACAGAGGATGATGAATCCTCTGTAGGCTGGAATCCTCATCAGTGTTAGTGGGGGATGGTATCAGAGACTAACTTTCAAAAAGTTTACTCTGAGGGGATTTAAGCGCTGAGACATTCTAGAACAAAAGAGGATAGTGAGACTGCTGCATTCATAAGTTAGAGCAGTAGTAGTGACAATACACAGTCATAGTGAAAACACACAGTAGTAGTGGATTTGTTTCACTATGGCGGCATTTGTATTTTGCAGTTTGTGGAACCAGCAACAGTTCTCACATTCATGCTTCTGCATAGTTGCAAAAGTTGAATAAAAATGGGATGGAGCAAAAATTAGAAAAGACTAGAGATCGCCTTGATGCAGTGAGATGGTAAGGCCGAGATGAGTGAGAGCACACTCAGCCAAAGTCACTTGTATGGAAAGAAAAATGAGATGATGGTGGATCATAGAAATACAAGTGACCTACAGACCTGAGACATTTGGGACAGGAGATTTGACCTGAATAGGGGTCATAAGATAGGATCTGTGGATCTCAGCACAAATCCTATGGATACAATACTTAACATTTTGGTGTAAAATGTAGAAAGTGTTCGCTTAAAATAAAGACAAATCTTTGGAGAAAGCGACACTGGGTAGAGTCTTGATAGCAACCTAAAATAAGGTCATTCTCCCATCTGCAGAAGATCTCTGGCAAGAGAAAGTGTGGTATGGAATTCAAGGAAGGACTTTAACCTCCAAAGGAGTAGGAAGGAGTCATGGTGTCAAGGTCCAAAGAGATTTTAGGAGTGAAGGACGATGGGATGAGCGCCATTGCATTTTGGAGTCAGTAGATTATTGACAGCCTCCAGCTGAATGTGTTAGTTAGATTCATGTCTGGGGATCCGATGAGGAAGTCGAAATCATAATTACAGTCTTACAGTGAAAGGAAAAAAAAACGATAGGGTAAATTCAGAAATAGTAGGGTTGTGGTGGGTCATGTTTAAGTGGTTTGCTGATTGTTGTTTTTATTCATTTCTTCACTAAGCATGAATGTG